GAGGCTCTGCTCCACGTTCGTGTCCCGGCCTCCAATTGGTTCAGGTGATTGTGCTATGTCTGGATGCTTTGTCGCCTGAAGTCGTTGTCTTTGGACTGTAGCTAAAAGACAATTCTTGGCGAGGGCGAGCTTTCTACGCGATCGCTGCGTGGGGGCTTGGAACTACCTAGGTCGCTGGGTCGACTCCTTCGCTAGAGGCGCTCTGCCGCGACTCGCTTGTTTCTGGCCCGCTCTGAGGGGCGCGTCATTATATATATATATATATAGATATATATATATATATATATATATATATATATATATATATATATATATATATATATATATATATATATATATAGGGTTGAGATCGGTTGAGAACTAATAGTTTACCGAGAACCCGACAATTAAAAGTGGAGTGTTAGATCAAAACTAACTCATAAAGGGCATGATCGTCATCTTACCGATCTCATTTAATGTTTAATTTTCTTTTTGCTATTGTAATATTAATAAAAAGTTCTAAAAATTAACATAATAAATTAAATTTCGGATTTTTTTAAAAAAAAATAGAGATTTTTTAATTTTTTTTTTTTCAGAAAACATGAATTTAGAAAAAAAATTGAAAAAAATATTTTTTTAAAAAACTGCAATTTTTTTTAAAAAAAAAGCTGCATTTTTTTTTCAAAAAACAGCAATTTTTTCATAAAAAATGCAATTTTTTTTAAAGAAACTGCATTTTCAAAAAAAAACTTTAATTATTTAGAAAACCGCAATTTTAATTAAAAAACTGCAATATTTACAAAAAAATGCAATTTTTTCAAAAAAAACTGCAATTTTTTTTAAAGAAAACTGCATTTTTTTTTTAAAGAAAACTTCATTTTTTTTTAGAAAAAAATTGAAGTTTTAAAAAAAAAACTACATTTAAAAAAAACTGCAATTATTTTCAAAAAAACTGAATTTTTTAAAAAAAGGAAATTTTTAAAAATCAATAAAAATATCATAACATTCGTAAATAAATCATAAAAAAATCTCATTTTTATTAATTAATCTATAAACATAATAGTACAAATATTTTATTCGATACAAAATAAAATTAAAAAAATAAAAAAATGCTACAAATTTCAAAGCGTTTTCATGTCTTTGTGTTAATATTTCCTTATTTTCTTCAATTTATCATTTTTCACATCTTCAATATTCACCACAATTTCTTCCAAATCTACAAGAAATTTGAAAAAAAAAATAATTAATGCAAAAACACTCACAAAAATACATATATGATTTTCATGTGAATAACGTATGAATCACATGCGATTCACATATGAATCACATGCGATTCACATATGAATCACATTTACATATGTAAATCACATGTGATTCACATATGAATCACATGTAAATTATATGTGATTCACATTTGATTTACATGTGAATCACATATGATTTACATGTGAATCAAATGTGAATTACATGTGAATCAAATGTGATTTACATGTGAATCAAATGTAATTAATATGTGATTTTCATGTGATTAACATATGAATGTGTGCATATATACATAATTCATATGTAATTCACTTGTGATTTACATGTGAATCACATATTATTCATATATGATTTACATGTGATTAATATGTGAATCACATGAGATTTGCATGTGAATCATATATGATTTACATGTGAATCATATATGATTTACATGTGAATCACATTTGATTTACATGTGAATCACATGTGATTTACATATGAATCACATGTAATTCACATGTAAATATATAAATCACATCCAAATTAATGCAATGGATATTATATACGGCAAAAAAGATAATAATTGAGACTACACACCTGGAATCCAAATTAATGTGAGGGGACCTAAATACAATTCATAAAGCAACTGTAGGTGAATGACATTCAACTTGTAGGTGAATGACCTGCTGTGAATGACCTGCATCCACATATGCATCCAATACATCTTCAGATGAACTATCCTTATCAGAATCTGCATAATATCAACATCATTAAATAAATATTACAAAACTACTGAAAATGTTGATTATGACTTAAGAAATAAGAATGAAATTAATATAAAAAGATGGTTAATGGATCCACCAAAATCAAAGTTACAACTTCACGAAAAACTTCTTCTTCTGAATCAAGGGCATCGTGGTATAGGGGCAAAGTAGGAATTTCTAGTGTAGTAGTTAGTAGTGTTTGCAATTTTTCAGTAAAGCATCGTGGTGTTGTTATAATAACGTAAATCATCGTGGTATAGCTTTCCCTAGAATTAAAATAATTCAACTTCAAGTATGAAACCTGAGAGGACTTGATGTATGAAGTTGTTATTGACTACTATTAACTCAAGCATTAACAAAGATATCCATAGTATAAGCCATTCAATCTCCACCATCCACCTCATGTTTACCTTCTAAAGTTCAGATTACTTTATCATTTCCTTTTTCTAATGACAGCACTAGTTATGTAAGAAGAAAAAAAAAAGACTGAACATGAAAGCTTGAATCTTTCTCAATCTGTAGAAACTAATAAGGTAAGAAGGTCCACAAGACTGTACCTATAATGCAAAATGATCCTTATTACACATAACTAAACAAATAACTTCTAATAGGAAGCATCAACCAAAAGTACGGACTACCTGCTGCAGTGGTCGACAAAAGACATGTCTAAACTCTGTAAAGTGTTTTTTGAGATATTCCTCAAGTTTAGGAGTGTCTTCCCTCCGAAATATGTCCCACAGAGCACCTCCATCTCCCAAATCAAATCCATCCACACATCTACTTGATATAACATCCTGGTTATCCACCTGTTAAGATTTAGTTGTAATCAAATTGAATTTTAGTTGTAAAATAGATATATTAAAATTGAATTTTCTATAATTTTCCGATGCTAGATTGAGCGAAGAGGAACATAAAGGTTTGTAACTTGAAGTCGAATTTGGATTTCCAATCGATTAACGATGGGAGGAACTCACCTGTGATCAACTAGATAAAGCCGCTCAACATTGAGGTCGGAACTTACATGCTGTCCTCAAAGAGACTCTCCAGTTACATATTCAACTCCCGCTACTTATTTCTCGAAAATCAACAGAATATGTCAAATTAATGGGGTATGACATTCCAGCAGGCACGCAAGTGATTATTAATGCTTGGGCAATAGGAAGAGATCCTTCAGTCTGGGAGGATGCTGAGCAGTTTAAGCCAGAGAGGTTTCTGAATAAAACTTAATAACATTAGTAAAAAGAGTACCTCCATTTCCAATCGATGGATGATGTAGAACACATCATAAATAAGCCAAACAACACACATATTATCACTCATGATCAAAATAGGGATAAATCATTACCTGCCTGTAGAAGAAGGCAAAAAAGAAAAGGCAATCTCCTTCAGCCATTTCATCAAACACTTGGTCTACAACTCTAAGATAAATCATGTTGGATCAAGCATCAGAATGTTCCTCATATGGGGTGAGTAAAAGAGGACCCATCGAAGGCGAGGCATGGGAGAATGCCGATAAAAACGGTAAATTCCGACACCATCCGACTGCCTCTGAGGTGTCTCTCGAAACTCTGGAATCGGAATCAAACGTGGTGATGGAGATGGAGAAACTAGAGGTGTCGAAGAGATTCCGGGGGGACGACGGAAACAAAAGAAAAGTATTGGAAAGACTGAATTCCAATGTTCAAAAGCTTACAAACCTTCAAATCACAATCGAGGATCTAAAACGGAAAGTCGAGATAACCGGAAACAGCCGAAGAGGAAAAGCAATGATCGAATGCGAGATGTTGAAAGGCCAACTCATGGAAGCGGAATCCGCGATTCAAAGCTATACGAACTGAACGGAAAACTGGTGAAACATATCGAAGGCCATTCCAACTCATCAACAACACCAGAATCAATAGAGAAGGCCATTCATATCATATACTCCGATGAAGATTTTAGGATTTGATATTCGGCGATTGAGAAGGCCATTGGTACCAAATGTCATCGATTTGTCGACTCTAATCCGATGCGGTTCTTCTTCAATCCGTCGTCGACGATCTGGTAGGTCAGAGGTGTGATGAAAGGTAGAGAGAGAGAGAGAGAGAGAGAGAGAGAGAGACGGGATGAAGATCGAGAGATGGGGGCTTGACGTGATTAAATCTAATAAGAGTGTATCAGTTACATAATCCCTAAAATGTCCCCGATTAATTTCAATAGGATGCCCCCGTTCTTTATTTTCAGATATTTACAAAAATGTCACAATACATCCTAACCCTTTATTATTTTAATCTAGTGGTCCTTGTTTGGTTCTCGGGTTCTCGAGAAACTATAGGTTCTCAAATGATCCTTGCTCTCTCTCTCTCTCTCTCTCTCTCTCTCTCTCTCTCTCTCTCTCTCTATATATATATATATATATATATATATATATATATATATATATATATATATATATATATATGAGGCTGGAAATAATTATTGTAGTACCCACAGCATCTTTAATTGTTTTGTTAAAAAAAACAGATTATATTGTTTTGTTTGACAACCAGTTTTTGAGAGGTTTTATGAAAATCTGTTTTTTTAATTTAAAAAAAAAATCATTTTCTGTGCGAGCTAAAAGATTTAATTTTAGATAAAAAGTTTCTAAGCTATTTTAACTAACATTTTTGGTATTTTGGTTTTAAGTTTTATTGTTTTGTCATTTTACATATTTTAAAATTTCGGCTAACAACATTTTGATTAGTTTCTCAGACATACCTTTAAATCTTAGTGTAATAAGATAGTTTTTCTAAGTATATCAAATAAACTTATCATTTATAGAATCTGTAGTAAAGGTTATATATACGTTCGAAAGTTCATACCTTGAATCAATTTTGCGTACATGCAATGAAGGATAGAAAATATAAAGAATACAAAAAAGCGAAATATCACAAAATATGACACAACAACACAAACTAATAGTATGTACATAGAGTTTATTATGTTTCTGATCAAACAATTTTCTACCCTAAGGAAAGTAATATAAAAAAACAAATCCACTCAATATTTACCCTAAAAACCTTTCGGGACTATAATTAACAAATATAATTTAATCTATATAAATAAAATCATAAAAAAACAAATCTTAAGCTCATTTAATATTCCAATAAAGAATCCAAGTCGGAAAACGAAGATGTGCCCACATGATCGCTACTCACTCGATTATGTACGTTCTTGTATAGGTGTTCGTTCATAAATGGACTCGTTTGGTAATTGTTGGTATCAAAGTTGTAATTATAAGAAGATACACTGATGTTTTTGTAATCTTCTTTTCGATGAATTTCATGTTGGTCATAAGACAAGTAGAATGGTTCAGTATCAAAGGTCGGGTCAACATTTAAGCCCGAAGGATCCGTCAGTGCAGGTAGCATTGATGGACCAACCAAGAGGTCTTCGACAAAAGAACTGAACCCATGATCTGTATTCGGGCTCTTCTGTGATCCTGTGTTCTTGTGAAATACACGACATACAACCCATTCATCCTGTGACATATATGTAAATAGTTACGAGATTTAGACATGAAGTAGACTAGAAATACTTGAAATGAAACTAAAAGAAAATGTTTTTTTTTCAAAAAAAAAATGTTAGCTTAATAATATGGCATATAATGTGGATTGATATGACAATAACCATATAAGGATTTAAAAGCAATATGTTAGTTGTCAATATACTTTTTAAAGTACTATTTGGTTTCTTCAAGTTATATATATATTTTTTTCTCAAGGTTATAAATGCATATTAATTAGATATATTTGACTTCTTATGCCGTTTGATATATGTGTATATTGATATTAAAGTTCTTTGTAACTTTTTTTTGAAGTTTTAATTTTTGATAAATTAAAACCAAAAAATTATGAATCGAAAGTCACAAAGATCAAAAGATATGTCTTAAAATTATTCGTAGGATTAGATAACACCATACCACTTTTGGTTAAATCGTTCTTTTAACCCACTAACTTTTATATAATTTTGGATAGATAAGAATATAACCATTTTTGGTGCAAAGCTTTTTTAAACATAAATTTAAGTAAAAACTATAGTATTTAACATGCTATGATCAAATATACGAACCCCTTGCTACAAATAAAATTTATGTAATGACCCAAAAAAATATATATAAAATGAACATAAAAAAATATGTACTTTTAGTTTAGATTCTATTTAAAAAAATTGTATTTTTATTACAAAAAAAACGTTTAAAATGATCCAAATTATAAACAATAAAAAAAGGTGACCCTTACCAAAAAAAAATCAATTCTTATTATAGGCAAGCAATTCTTTTATGAACAAAAATCACTTCAAATATATTTTTTATGAACAAAAATCACTTCAAAAGTTGATGAAAGTTCGAAAAAAAAGTGCATAAAGGAGTTGTACCTGAGAGGGTGTAGGCATGTTGTAGTATGAGAATTTTCCTTCAAGTCTGAATTCGTGCATGACCCAATTCGTCTTTTCCCCTTTTGGAGCTCTTCCTCTATAGAAAACAAGCGTCTTCTTCATCCCTACCAAGTTTCCGCCAGGCCTGTATATCTCCCTATCTTTTCCGGTAGCCTTCCAGTAACCGGATTCCGTCGCACGATTAGTTCTCATCCCTGTCGGATACTTCCGATCTCTCTGACAAAAGAAGAACCATTCCTTCTGATCTCCCTCCATCTTAGCTTTCTCTGAAAAAACGTTTTTCGTAAAACGTAAGTATTCAAATCCGAAGTGATCAAAAACGTTTTTCATATTCAAAATATCAAATCTGGTTTTGAAAGTAAAAAAAAGTGGTGCAGTTTGATAAAATAATTATTGAATGAGTTAACAGATCTATTATTGCTTACTAGGTAAATCCCATGGCTCCGACTTGTTGAGATCAGCTTCTCCGATTGCACTGGCGGTGAATTTCCGGTTAAGAACTTTAGGTGTTAGATAATGAGTGACGATTTCTTCATCAGTCGGATGGAATCTGAATCCAGGAGGAAGTCCGATCACTGCATCGTCTCCTTCGTTTATGTTTTCCGCCATGTTTGATCTTTCCATGTACTGTTTACAAAAAAACTATCAGAAATCAATTAATTTATATCACTTCAGTAAATCAGCTGGTTGATTATGTCGATCGGAAGTGTAAAGTATATTGAATCTCGATCTCTGATGAAGGTGATTTGTGCAGAAATGGAGAGAAAAAAAGGTGGGATTTGGGTTTAGAAAGAGGGAAAATGAAGGGAATGAATGAATGTTATATAGAAAAGACGCGTAGATGGAAAGATACTTCTGTAACAAGATTCTGTAGCAAATGTCAAAGTAGTTTATAATTTACACATGTACAATATTGATTGATATGTAACTGCTATATAAATATTTTAACTGCAAAATTTATATAATAAACATAGTTTTAGTTTAGAAGATGTTATTATAGGTTTAGGGTCATCATTTAACAAATGTTGTAGAAGTTTAAAATCAATTAAGAGCATCATCAATAAAAGAATTTTTTTTAATGACTTTTTAGGTTAACAAATCTCTACTATAGTCAAAAATATTTTTTTAACAAAGTTTATTTATGAGTTCTACAAATATTAATTTATAGAGTATACTAATAAAATAAAAATTAAAGTATTAAAACGTTATATTTATTTAGATTGTACATTTATAAACACTTTACAAAATCTTTGCAAATATGATTATTTTTAATTTTCATTTTGCATAACTTATTTAACTTACAAAAAAAAAATCGTTAAAATAAAAATTTTTAATTACCAGTAAATTATTCTTTTATAAGTAAGTCTATGATTTTATTAATATATTGCATTAGAGTCTTACATATTGTTTTTAAAAATAAAAAATACAATGTTTAATGTATTTAACCATATTATTTTAAAGGTTTACAATAAAAATATTATAACAGAAAGTGATAAATGTTTCATAGTTGGAGATCGACGGTTGGCGTAGTGGAGGCAGAAGGACGGTGGACCCACAATATCCTTTTCAGATTAAAAAAGTATTTCAATATTGTATATCTTTCCCTCAACCTTTTCCTAAAAAAAATTGGCCCTCTATGTTTAAAGGTTTGCTACCTATGCCCCTTGGCTATGCATGATCTCAAAACTAGGATTATACTAGTGTATGTTCAACGAACCTTTGACCAGAAAGATCATGTGTATTTGCTTAAGATCTAAAATGAACAAATAGTATTGCACTATGTGTAAAACTCGTGTAATACACGGGTTGATTAAAAAAAGATTAAATATCAAAATTTAAAAAATAAATATTTTTTAAAATAAAGTTTTGAAATAAGGAATGAAAAACATATTAATTGCAATTTATTATCACATTTATTACATTTAATACTTTACATATATATATAAGTATAAGTATTATGTGATTTTAATTTTAAAAATTGAAAAAATCTACAAATTAATATGTAGATATTATTTTATTTTAAATAAATCAAAAAATGACAAGTGTCAAAACTTATGAGAGATTGACATGTAGCAAAATTGATCTTCATTTATTATAGGAGATTGTTCGTCTAACTATGGGTTTTCTCCCTTGTTTCTTCACGTCAACCTTTTTTTCTTCCCTATTGTTTTTTTGTTCTTTTTATATGAACACTTGTATTTTTCTTGTTTATGTTTCTCAATATCATCATCTTCATATACCTCCCATGGTTGTTGCAGGCGTCCTTGGACAGAAAGATGGGATTCTTGTTTAGCAAACCTACCAAACTATAAAAAACACATATCTTGGTAGAAAGATAAGCTTAAAACATGATCAACATTTGAGTCCTAAATTTTTACATGTGGTCGGTAGGACAAGTTTGGTTTGAAAACCATGTGGATGTAAAGCTATCAAGAAGTACAAGAACTAGGGATTTCAATGATGAAATAGCGGTGACAACTACTAGCGGGATTCTTGGAATTGCAGACGAACTACCATTGGTGATAACTTTTGGAGCATTGTAAACAGTTTGGGACTCACCAGGATGGACAACCATTAGCAACTTCGATTACAAGTCGTGGGTTGTTACCAAAACCTTCCAATTTAGGGACACTGTTAGTAGGTACCTTGTTTATACTTTTATATTTCATCTACACTTTATGGTTATCTTTTTTGTTTCTTTATAGCATCTATGGGTTTAAATGATTGTTTCTATAAATGTTGATCATCATCACATTAACAAATTAAACTACTAAACTCACTTTAAAGGTGAAAATAATAAAATGACAATATGAACTTTCAATACGTGAAATATGTATGTGAAAAATGCAAATAAAATAACTAATATAAGGTAATTACGAAACTATCATAAAAATATTATTATGTGTTAATGATCTATTTTCACTAATTTACACTTGAACATAACCCATGCACCATCATTGTAATTGGTTATAGCTCTCTCTCTCTCTCTCATACACACACACATACATGCATACAACCACCTACATATCGATCCTCCACTATAATTACTGTAAATATTTGTTTAATTTGAAATTCATGCATGATCCACCATTAGAAGAATTGCATGATAACCACCAAGTGATGATGACTAGAAGCCATAGACCCTATGTATGATTATCTTGACTTGTTTCATTGAACAACTTATATAAATTAGGGATGCGCATAATAACCAAAAAAATATTTTTATGTCATTTTGGACCATTATGGTTAACTAATATTAACCAATAACCAAAACCATTAACCAAAACCATTACTAACTGATACCCACTGGTTAATGAAATGGATTAATCTACTGTAATGGATATGGTCCAGTTTTGACCAATAATCAAACCAACCCTCCCTATACACACCCCTACTGATATTATAGAGTATAAACATCCTATAATTATGTATTTTGAATTAAATAAAACTATAGTTTCAAGTCTCAATGTTTCATACTATGCCCTACTTACATGAATGCATCACTTTCTTAATCACTGGAACTTTTTACAGACAGATAATTCAAATACCAGCAACATCACCATTCTGCAACTTCTTTTTCTCTCTTACACCTCCACCAATAACTTCGACATATATATCAAGAGGAGTGTAATTATTGAAAATCCATAAGTGTATGATGTACATTGATTATTAAAATTATATGGTTAGCAGGATAACAAGGGAGATATGTATGTTGATATTTGGATAACATTTATATCAAAATGTAATAAAGAACATAAAGCATAGACGTCTAAAAGAACAAAAAAGGCAATGAAAGTATTAGAAGCAATGAAAGTAGTAGAAGATGATGATTATGGATTAGAAGCACCAAGTGAGTCTATTACGCCTATAGAAAATCTAACGGCGAATTTGAAAATATACAAAATGGTGAAGAATCAAAGAAAGAGAACATGTCATAGGATAAAGTACGTGTTGGATTAATGTGTCTAAGCTCATAACTAAATTGGTATAAACTTGTAAATAGAAGCAAAATCCTTTTTAGGTTATCCTCATGGTTAGAAAATGATTAGAATAACATTTGTAGAGAGAGGAAATAATTTATTAGTTTATTATATGATTAATAAATAAATTAGAAATAGATTAAATTAGTCAATAATTTATCAGAATTAATTTAGAATTAATTTGGGATAAATTGAAATTAATTAGAAGTGCAAGGGCTGCTTGGTAATTGCTTAATAGTTGAGCAATATATAGGTTCTAGAAACCTCTTGCTATAGACGGTTTTTTGATGCCTTGCAAGGCAATCCAAAATGTTCCATTTGATAAAAGGAAAACATATAATTACCATGATTTGAAATAATATTATTTTCTGTTCAAATCTAGGGTTTATGGGTTTTCCTGGCAGCTATATAAAGGGGTCATTGGCTGGCAAATTTTGTCCATTACATTCAAAAGAACCCTATCCAAAAATTTGCATCCCTCTCCTCTCTCATCTCTTGTGTTCTAGTTTCTAGTCTTGGGTGTGATCCATTAGAGACATCATCCTTTTGGTGCTAGCTTTCTTAAGGTCTACAAAGGAAGGAATTAAATGAATTGTTTACAATAACAATTCAAAAGGTATGTAACCCTAACCTATAAGTTTCGATAATAGTAAGGTTAGTCTAGGGTTTGTAGTTCATAGTATGTTGTCTTAATGTAAAGACATAGATCTTTATAGGTTGCATGTACCCTTAATTGCTAAGTGTTATTTTTCCACACTATACATGAATTTTATAACCTATGAAACCTATCAGTACGAGGGGCTACGATTAAGATTCCCATATTTTGTTACCAATGTTCGTTATTTCTTAAAATTATTTATCTTAATCTATTGTAATTTACAGGTTTTCAGGGATGTAATCAATATTCCTATATTTTGGGTGGTGGCAACTGCTAGTGAGATTCTTAGACTTGCCATTAGCTTTACTTTCATGTGGTTTTCAAACCAAAATGGTACACCTAATAAGAACAAGAAATCAACGGGAAAGAAAAAATATGGGTAAGAAGAAACAAGGAAGAAGGATAAAATATTTAATTATGAATGAGTTTGTGGAAAGGCCAAAATTCACTCATGTGCATGACACATGAGGGGTCTTAAATGATAGATGGTAACGATGTCGAGGGACCAAATCTACTAATTTAGTTTGATATAATGACCAATGTTGCAACAAATCTCATAATCAGATAAAGAGTACAATAAACCCTAAATATTAGGGACCACACATGTAATTACTCTTTTGTCTATAACTAATGTGTTATTGTCATCAAAACCTAAAAAACTTTTTCCTTTGGATTTAAAACGTCCATGAACTACTTGTATGTGCATTTTAAGTCATTGAAGTCAATAAATTTATGTCACTTAAACCCTTCTGCAAATCTTGAAACGTTTACCAAATAATTTTTGCTAATGTGGACTTTGACCTTTAAAAGGTAAAAGTTTATGGTGATGTAAATATGGCCATGTGTACACTAGCTTCCAAAATGGTAAAATTACAACGTTGCCGTTAAGAGTGTCTTATTGTACCCACATCCAACGCCATAATAAAAACAATCATTCTCGTGTTTTTGAGCTTTTGCTATTTATTGGAATCAAAACATCCCCATATTGTGAAAATCCAACACTGAAATCAAAACTTTGCCTTCAAAACATTGCCTTTAAGAAAAAAATAGTGTTTGTGAGAGGATATAGAGTTGGAATATCGAGCATCGAAATAGGGTCCGAAGAATCTTACTACATAGCCAATATTATATCTATTATATTCGATTAAGATTTTATCCTTATATCTAACCCTTCTTATTGATATCGGTGGATATCCTTGACATACTTTTCATTATATGAACACACTTCATATTGAAAGTACTTTTATATTTTTCATCATGTGTTCATCTTGCAAGTAATTTTCATTATGTAGTATGAAAAAAGAATTCATTATGTGCATCTAGGACTAAAATTATCGAGTTCTTCTTATAAAGACTTTAATTGTGGTCCATATTTCAAATGTAGAATCCACAAAGATGAGTAGAATAGATAGTCAACATAGGGAAGGGGGTGCGGTTAGGGTAGTTGTCAAAAGAATGGAAGGAGGATGCAGGAGTAACTAATAGAGATGATAGGCTGGAGGAAGGAGAATGTTTGTTTTGATGAAAATGACGAGGAATGGAGATGAATTATGCCAAATCATCTAAGCAATGTCACATCAATGTCAAAGTGTAGCTTATTTCTTGACATTAACCCAGGGCCGGTCCAAGACAAATTGAGGCCCAAGGCAAAATATAAAATGGGGCCATTCACCATTATCTTGTTCATTTTCTTATAAGTTAGAAGAGTTTAAGTTTTTTTTTTAAATAAACTTATTCATGGTAATTTTGCATTTCAATAAATAGTTTGCCTTTTGATTTTTTAGTTTTGCACTTCCACATATATTTTCTAGGAATCAATTTTAACATATACAAGTAATAGAGGTCATAGATTTAAAAAGTGAAATGAGTGTATCTGTAACGCCCCGTTTCTGGTACGTATTTGATCTACTTTTATACCATTTGTATTAGTGACTCGACGAGTGGCAGCCCTAACTCGTCGAGTAGATGCGAGGTTGGGACGCGGATTTAAGTAATCTACTCGCCGAGTCCGCGCTTGGACTCGACGAGTAGGCCAGTCTGGAGGAAACCCTAATTAAAGGGTTTGCACCCTATTTAAACAACATTATGAGCTTCAGGTCCAGCCTCCATCACCTCCAGAGCATTACTTTCGAAACCCTAATTCCCTTTTGGGCAAACTTGAGCTTTTTAGTGACTTGGAGGGTTTTTGGTGCATTGTGTATCTAGTAGAAGTGTTGGAAGGAAGAAGGATCAAGGGAGAAGGACTAGATCCAGGAGCAACATCAGTTTCTTCTCACTTTCAGGTAATCAAGCTCAAAACTTGACTTGTGGTTTTATAGATTTTCTCTTTTGCCCCTTTATGGAGTTTTGGGGTCAATAAGCTTGATCCTTAAGACTTGGACGTCCCAAGTCGATTCACCTTCAGATCTAGACTCTAGAACCAAGTTCATGGCATAATGATGCAAGCTTTATGGCCATATTAGCCCATGCACCTCTTTGGACCTCTTTTTGGGTCCTTAAAGCGTATACTTCCATGCATGCACGTAAAGTTCATAACTTTACGTGTTAGATCGACCTTAGAAGCCCAGATCTACCTTTTGGATAAGGATTTTACATCAGAAATCGAGTTATAGACTTGGACAATGGGCGACTCGACGAGTTGTTCTTGGAACTCGGCGAGTCCGGGGCTTGAGTCCCCAATTTGTTGTGGTTCAAAGAAGCCCAGTTGAGTGTTAGCAGAGGTTTAGAAAGGTCCCAAGGAGTGTTCGACGTTTTAAGATTTAGCCATAATCTGGAAACCATGGGACGCGACGAGTGTAAGAACACACTCGGCGAGTCCAAGGCAATCTTCTTACCCACAAGAATAGACTCGACGAGTTGTTCATACAACTCGGCGAGTCGTAGACTGGACGTGTTCATATGATGAAGGAGGACTCTATGAGTTGTTCATACAACTCG